TAAAAAATAAAAGAAGGTGGTTGAAAGAGAAGTGTCCTGTCTTTGCCTTGCTTGTCACTGTGTCCCTGTGCAGGAATTCCAGGTGCTATGTCTTCTGCAAATCCGGGGAAAAGGGGCCAGGGGTGGAGGGTCCATCCAGTCCTGACAGTGTGAATGGGCCGTGACTGTTCAGCACTGAGGGAAACTGAAATAAAACAAAACAAAACAAAAAAAAAAAAATCATCAAGAAATTCTTTAATTCGCTGCTCCTCTCCTAAAGGAAAAAGGGGAAAAAAATCGAAATGTAACAATAAAATAAAGGAAAATCAGCCCAGACTTCAAAAAACACGCCTGGCTTCTCATTTTTAATTTCTTTTTAATTTCTTTTTAATTTCTTTTTAATGCCAAGTGGTGTCAAAGTGAGCTGAGCACTGCCCCATATCCTCATTAAAATGTGACTTTAATCCAAGTCCTGGGTTTAAACCAGGGTTTAAATCATCCCTCAGTTAATTTTCAGCTCTTTCCTCAGCCATCCTTGTTTTATTCATCCCAACCCAAAAGATTTAATTAAATTCTTCAAATTTCGGTGAAATGAAATAAAAATTGATTAAATTGGTTAAATTCTACCCTCAGCAAAATCAGGCAATGTGGTAATTCCAGTGCCAGAGTGGAAGTGTGAGGGGAAAAGATGAGAATTACAAATAAAGGAGGGTTTTTTTTCTTAAATATATAATATGTAATACATAATATATAATATATAATTTCCTATATAATAAGAAAAAAATCTGACCTTGGACATTTCCAGCTTCTCTGAGAAACTGTGCCAGGGCTCCCCCATGAAAGGAGTGAATTTTATGGATTTATTCCATAAAAATCATTAAAAAACTGTGCCACACATCCCCATAGAAATCAAACACACATTCTTTCTCCTCATTAGCTGTGAGATTAATTAATATTTTTTAGCAGGAATGATTGGAACAATCAATAGAGTGGAAAATTTCAGAATTTAGGAAAATCTCAACCAAAAAAAAAAAATTACAGGGAGGGAATTTTTATAGGAAGAATAGACCTGAAAAATAATCTCTCTATAGC